TTCCAAGGCCATATATCACCATTTTCTCTCATACTAAATCTCCTAAACTTAGATTTCTCTCCAGATCTGTGATTCTGCGTCCGTTCTAAGGGATTTGAAGTAAGTTTCTCTAAGTTTGAAGTTAGTTTCACTGTTTGTTTCTCTTCTCATTCTCTTTCTCATAGAAGTTCATGGTGTTCTTAGGAGAGACTATGTACTAAAGTCAAATCTTCGGTGAATCTTGCGTTAAAACAAGTAATATTCGGTAGATTTGGTGTGAATCACCGTTGTAAGGTAAAGGGAGCTTATTTTATCCTATGAACTATATTTTGAATGGTTTGGTATGCTATTGAAGAAAGGTTTGAGTTAGAATTGTTAGATCTCTTTGATAAAAGCTAAGATATAAAGGATTTAATACTTGAAAGTTGTTTTCTATGTTGTAACTGCTGATAACTGATTTAATAACACTGAGATTTGGCTGATTTATTATAAACTTGTCTTAGCTAAGCTGTTGAAATGATTTTAGTTGTGTTGCATCATACTGAGATATATGTCTTGCATTATTATAGAGTTGAGTTATACGTTTAGGTGGGTAGACGTGAAACGATAGAGCATGCTGAGATGTGTTGTGCTGTCTATGCTGTCTGGATCCAGATACCAGAATGGGTCGCTCCCGGACCGGCTCGATTCCTTCTGGATTACTTAAGTTGTGAAACTAGTTGGAAACTGTTTTCATGTTATGCATTAGATGGGCTGAGAATGCATGGGGCTGTTACTGTGAGTAATATTTTGCTATCTATATATATGATTTTATTTTATTTTTGTAAATTCACCCTTGCATTTTTGTCTATGCTGTTGTGTACGTGTGTACTGCGATGATCGTACGGTGGTACGTGAGCAGATGTAACAGGTGTTACATCTACTTCACAGGTTGAGGGGCCAGTGGAGAAATGTTAGAAGCTGGAGTCGAGTAATTATGCATTAAAGTCCTTTTTTTCCTTATATTTTGAGACCTCATATAGAGAGAGCTATGTAGTATAATTTTGTGTATTTTGAGTATTATGAACTAAATGTAATATTATGTTGTTCTATTGGATATTTGTCGTAAGAAACTTTGTTTTAATGAGAAGTGAATTTTATACTTATGTTCTCCATTATTTATCTATCTTAAATAAGTAAGTGGTGTAGAAATAATGTTCTCGGTTCCTTATAAAAAGGGGTCGTGACAAACACCATCACTAAATTTGTCTATTATAGTAAGGAGAGCTCTATTTCATTACTGATAACATGATGTGTCATGCTCATGTGGATGTAGTTGTGTGTTTCTTGTTGTGATTATATTTCTAAATGATCTCGTTGATAAAAAGTTTCCTTATTCTTGATGCCTTGGAATCACATGTGCATTGAAAAATATGTATGTATGTTGTGGACTAAGTCTGGAGACACCAATCTCCGGCAAAGAATGATTGATATATGACATAGGTAGTGAACTTAAATAAAACAAAAAGAGAAAAAGATGAATAACATATTAGTGTAAAAGTAATAAGTTCGGGATGTAATGACTAAAGAAAAGAGTAGAGTCATAATGAGAAATATGAAAAAGAAAATGGAATGTGAAGAGAGAAATGGTGATGAGAAAGAAAAGATGATAAGGATAAGTGTGGATAGTTCAGAGATACACTGTGAGTGTGGAAGATGGAAGCGATTTCGAAAATCTTGAGAAAATGAAGGTGGTAGATACTTTTCTTGATTTGCATATAAGAGCACCATAGGCCTCTCACTTATTTCCTTACTTAAACTCCTGACCATGTTTTTGCTAAAAAGGGTTGAGTCGGGACACGTTATATCCGTGTAGCTGTGGCTATCTAAAGAAGACTTCAAGGGATCCTAGAGATAGTGAAAGTTGGAGATGAGAAATCCACGAATAGTAGAAAAGAAATATAATAAAGTCATATATTAATGATTATTGTATGCATATGAAAATGTATTGTATTTTTCGATTGATTAATGTATTATTCTTGTTTGTGTTGCTTGATATTATTGTGAATTCATGTTTAGGAATAAGAAACTATGTCCATCCTTACAAAAACCTTTCAGGAAATAAAGATGACAAATCCCCAGAGATTTGTTAGATTGTCTAAGCTGCTTATTAGTAGTAGACTAGACAATGTATCTAAGGAGTGGTAGCAGTTATACCATTATAGTTTTATTATACGTAGTAATGATGGCTTTGATATTATATTTACCTTAGAAATGATATTAGGATATGATGTACCTTTTGATTACCCTAGTAGTGGTAGGATATCCACCATATTGTATGCTTGTATTATATAGACCGCTAAATGCATGGAATTATATATTTACTTTTCTGGATCATGACTACCATGGAAGACCAAGCCATTTTACTACATAGCAAAGCACGGGCACTGAAGTGGTAGCTGATGCAGGTGACTTGGTGAAGATGAAGACTTATTCCCTGAGGAACTAGTAAAGATAGAGGAGTGGTCTGGAGATGATGACAAGTATCATCTTCAGTCTTTTAGTAGATATACTGCTCATTAGGACTTATTATATTTTGTATTTTGTAAATGATGTAGATAAGTTATAATGTATTTTGAAATTATATTTTGTAAATATTAAACTTTTGTATATAAATGAGATCAAATATTAAATTTTTGTATATAAATGAGATCAATGTCCATGGATGTTGTTTCAGCTTTTTACTTAAATTTATTTATTTTTCATTGCTTTTTTATTATTGAAAAGTTTTATAATTTTGAGTAATTTAAATGAAAATTTTACATTTCCGCATTTTGTGTTATGAAATAGTATCAAAGTATAAATGAAACCAAAGTAACAATACAATATCAAATCAATAGGTATAAGAACAGAATTGTTTCAGAAACTGAATCAACGGATAAAAGGTAACGATCTACAGCACCAAAGGCTTCATGATCCTTCAACATCAACCTGGAAGCATGAGAAGAATTTTTCAGATAAGGAAAGAAGAATCACAGAGAGAATATAGAAGGAGACTGCAGAGAGAATACAAAAGGAAATTGCATACCACACATATAATCCCTCATTTCTGCATAATCCTTCAATTTTATGTTTCTTTAATCCTAATTCCCTCTCCTCAATATAAAATTATTTTTTTAAACTATATAAATAAATAAAGATGATACATTTTACAAAAAGTTTCTTCAGGTTACACTTTCTAAAAATTACGAAGATGAAACTATAAAGATTGTCCAAAAAAATTTTAAAAAACTTGACAAGAGAAAGCTAAAATAGCTTTACAACAATAACATGTTAGATAATGTCTATCATTTTGCATGTTGTATTCTCAATTTTATAGATTTACAGACCTTAATAAATGTTAGAGACATTCACATAATATGAATTTTCTTTTTATGTCTTATGATTTCAACATTAATATGAATTTTAGCGACTTTCAAACATTAAATTTTACGTATCATCAATCTTAATTCTAACAAGAATTTTATATTATCATCCAATCATGTATTGTGATAAAAATGAGAATTATTTATTTTTACTATAATTAATTAAAAAATTATATCTATCGTGTATTCTAAGTAATTGACAATATATAAAAAATCTTACGATAATGATATATTAAAATTAAACAAAATATATTTAGTATGCAGCATGAATCTTTATGACAGGAGATGAAATTAGGCATGTAATAAATATAAGACTACAAAAATATTTGGTCCACTAAAGTTACGCACACCATGACACCGTCACCACTATCTCTGAAAATTTTGTTTATCAAATTAGTACTAAAAAAAATGGCAAATTTATTAAAATATTGTAAATTAAAAAACAATTTATTATTTTATAGCAAATCTGAAACAATTTCTCAATCTGGGATTTTTTTTGCCACGTGGATCAAAATTTCGCCAAACGGCTGGCGAAAGTATTAATTTTTGAATTTTTTAATACCTATTTCGCCACAAAAAGTACGAAATTCGACTTCTTAGAGCGGTTAAATTAAAACCGTTCTCATAGGTCTATTTTAGAGAGCGGTTCCATTTGAACCGCTCTCAGTAGTCTATTTTAGAGAGCGGTTCAAATGGAACCACTCTCATAACTCCTTTTAGAGAGTGGTTCATTTTGAACCGCTCTCATAACCCATTTTAGAGAGCGGTTCCATTTGAACCGCTCTCAAAAGTCATGTAAAGTGAGCGGTTACATACAAACCGCTCTTAGAAGTACATCTTAGAGAGCGGTCCTGCGGGAACCGCTCTCTTAGGTATATACAGTAAAAGAATTTTGCCAACCGAATTGCGAAATGTAAGTATAGTTTCGCATATTTGATGGTGAAAATTTTCTTTTAATATATTTTTAAATTAACTTCGTTACCGGACTGGCGAAACAAATAGCAAATTCTTCATTTTAGTGGCGAAATTGCACACTCCAATTTCAAAGTTTGAATGCTATATATATACCCCAACCCTTCTCTCATTTTCATCGGAAGGATACATTAGAAGAAAATCTCAGGTATGTGTTATTTAATAATTTTATTATTTAATTTTGAATGTATAATTTTAGTTATATTTAATTAATGAGTATTGTTTATTTTATTTATGTTAATTATTGTAAAGTTTAAATATTAAATAAAGTTTATTTGAATAAAATGCAGGATGAGTGGGATTGTTATTATTATATATTGGAATGGTAGAATCTATGAAGGAAATGAAGGAGTAAGTTTTGAAGGAAGTAAAAAAGTAATTCAAATAAAACGAGGAATAAGTTATGAAACATTGAAAAGAAAAATTCATGTGAAACTCAATCTGGATCATAATCAAGTGATTTCTAGATTAATTTCTCATTTTTTGATTGATGAAAATATTAGACAGTATATAGCTTTGGATATATGTGATGATGAAGACATTGATTGCATGATAAGTGCATTTCAACAACAATCTAGTAGAAATATTATTGAGTTATACGTAGATATTGCAGTTGGTGGAAGTTCATCAATGTCCTTACAGACGATGAATTTAAATTTATCACTTTCACAACAAAATGATAGGACCCTTGTGAGTCGTGATTATAATGAAGGTAAAATTATTTTTGTTCTAATGTCTTTTAAGTAATATATGTAATTGATTGAATTAAAACTGATAAATTTGTTGCAATAAAGGAGTTAGGAATGATGCTGATGAAGATAATGAACACTCAGATTATGAGAGTTACACTGATGGAGATGATGAAGCAGAAATTTCGTTAGGCAGTTCTTCTTCTACTGATGTTGAAGGCGAGTTTAATTCCAACTTACATATATAAGTAACCGAAAATGTAGGTGGTAATGTGAAATAATTATAAAGAATTTGTTTTTTGTGGTTATTTTTTATATATTAATGATAAATATAATGCAGAAGATACTGTAATTCCTTTTTGGAATGTTACTCCAAAGTATAAGTATATTAATTGGAAATATCCTGATCAAGAAATGGATGAAGAACATCTTCAAGAAGTCAATTCATGGGTTGAAGGAGATCCTTTATTTGTTGGCTTATATTTTGACAGTAAAGAAGATGTGAAGAATGCATTAAAACATTGCGCAATGAAGATTCATCAAAGTTATTTTGTGACTGAGTCTAAACCAACATGTTTGTACGTTAAATGCTTAAATCATACCTCTGGTTGTCCATGGAGAGTAAGGGCTTCATTGTTGAAGAATTCAAACAAGTGGAAAATTACTAGGTGGGGTGGTTCACATACATGTGTCAATATGAGAAATCATCAAAAGTTAGATTCTGATTTAATTTGTTCATGCATTCTTGGTAAGTAAAATATCGAGTTTTTTATTTTATTTTTACAATGACATTGTTATTAACTTGAGAAAATTTATTTTATGTAGGAATGGTCAACGAGGAACCGTCGGTACATATTTCATTGATACAAGAGCGAATATGTGCTCAGTTTGGATATAAAATTTCATATAAAAAAGCTTGGAAGGCGAAGCAAAAAGCCATTGTTAAAGTATTTGGTGATTGGGATGAATCATATGCTACCTTGCCTCGTTGGTTAGAATACATGCAATTAAATTCTCCTGGATCTGTTTATAAACTTAAAACAAAAGAGTATGTGGTTGGTCATCAAGTGAATAATAGGTATAGAGTATTTGAACGACTATTTTGGTCATTCGAACAATGTCATGAGGCTTTTAAATTTTGCAAACCTATATTACAAGTGGATGGGACATTCTTATATGGTAAGTATCGTCATACGTTGCTCATTGCAACAACTCAAGATGGAAACAATTGTGTTCTTCCAGTAGCTTTTGCAATTGTTGAAGGAGAAACACTGTCAGCATGGGAATGGTTTTTGGCATTGATTCGTTTGCATGTTACTGATAGAGCAGGAATTTGTTTGATATCAGATAGACATCAAAGTATAAAAGGAGCTGTGTCAAATCCACACATTGGGTGGCAACCTCCAAATGCGTATCATGTATATTGCATTCGTCATATTGCCAGCAACTTTAATCACCGGTTTAAGAATATAGCATTGAAGAAAGAGCTCATCAAATTGGGTATATTTAATTTTTTATCTAGATTATGGTTAAATTATTAGATATCCATCGAATCCGTGGATAGATATTTTAATGTTTTGAATGTTGTATATGTAGGTTATACACCATCGAAGGTCATTTTTCAGCAAAAGTTAACTAGATTTCGCAATGAATCTGAAGATATAGAAAGGTGGATTGACAGTATATCAAAAGAGAAATGGGCAATATCTAATGATGATGAAGGACGGCGTTATGGACACATGACTACAAATCTTTCAAAATCAGTAAATAAAGTGTTTAAAGGTGCTAGAAACCTGCCCATATGTGCACTAGTTAAAGCCACCTATGGACGATTGGTTGAATATTTTGTGAAGCGTGGAGAAGAGGCCATGTCTGACCTTCACAATGGAAGCATGTTTTGTCGCAAAGTTATGTTGCAAATTCAAAAAAATCAACAAGAAGCTTCATCACACCAAGTTCGTCGGTATGACATACAAAGAAAAAGTTTTGAGGTTGAAGAAGCTTTTAATCCAATAACACAAAGGGGTGGACACAAATGGACAGTTATATTGGATAGAAGATTCTACGAATGTGGAAGATTTCAGTCTTATCGATTTCCTTGTTCACATGTGATAGCCGCTTGTATAGCCGTGAGTATCATTTTTGGCAATATATGGATCCTGTTTATTCAATGCAATATGTTGTAAATGCATACTCCCCACAGTGGAAGCCCCTGGGAAATGAATGCAACATCCTTACAAACTGCGAATGGAAGTTAATGCCTGATGTTGACAGAGCAAGAGGTAAAGGCCGACCAAAATCAACTCGCATTAGGAATGAAATAGAATGGGTTGAGTCACAAACTAGACAAAGGTGTTCCAAGTGTAACGAAGTAGGTCACAATCGACGTCATTGTCCTCAACAAAACAATGTTGGTTAACCAAATCATACAATGTTGGTGTTTGTATTTTTTTTATCTTGTGATATTGTTATTTATCGTAATTGTCATTAATTATTGTAATGAAACCATTAATGTTATATCAAGTGAAGGCACAAACAAATTAATAATTAGAGTAAGCATTAAAGTCACTAACATTAATAAATGTTAACTAAAATAAGTTGCTACATAAAAACATGTCATTGCTGTCCCCCCTGTGTGCCTAATGATGATGATCGTCTGGAGTCAAGATGCATTGCCTCTGTCTATCTCGAGCTCCTCGATGAGGGTTCCGACGAACATATCCTAAATCAGCAACTGCACCAAACTCGGCATTAAGATCAATACCTAACTCTATAGGATGTATGTCTGATGGTATAGGGTCAACTTGACTGTATGGGGCACCTGGAGTCAAAAGCGAATGGTGCTCGTAAGGAGGTGTGAAAAAGAAATCAGGTCATGGGATGTAATCTTCTGTTCCTGTAAAAGGTGATGATGGGTGTTCTGATGGATGGTGTGTACCCTGTGATGAATGGAAATAAGTCGGGGCTGTCATCAAACTAGATGGATGAAAAGGAAACTCTGATGGTATTGGAAAGACACCATCAGGTCGCTCTGGCATAACCGGGACAGCCCACTCTGCTGCCTGCACTTGTCTCTGTCGACGTGCCAAGCCTCTTCCTTCTCTTCGTTGATGCGGCTGATCTATGTGTAAGTCTGGATCGACAGGATTACCACTTTGTACTGGTGGATCTAAGGTTGAAACAGGCTCTAATATGCGATCTTGCTCCTTCTTCAATGACAGAAGAGTCTCAGACAAGTCCTTCAATTCATTAAAGGTAAAAGAATCCTGTCCATCAGTGCTCAAGTAATGCAATCTCTCCATCATATCACCCTAAAAATAATCAAAAGTAACCATTACTGTAATTTTGTATATAAAACAGAAAGTAATAGTGAAAAAAGTATATATTTTTGTAAACATACCGACAAAGCTGATACTGCTACCTCCCTGGTCATCCAACGACGAGTATGACTAACATACCATCGTATGTACTCTGAATTTGAGCAAGTAAACCATACTGAGGCTCATTAGTCAATACCCAAAGTCGTCTACTCTCCCAAATTTCTAACATAGCACTGAACTTGGCTGACCAATCTTCTCCAGTCTTCCCTCTGAGGGTAAGGTCATGTAGCTGGTCAGGCTGGTAAGGAGTCCTTGGTATGTGTTGAACCATACCAAACTGACGCATTACTCTATCAGGTTGATGCCACTCACATACCTGAAAACATATAAGTGGCACCACTGCCCTCCATAAGTCCATACCATCTCTACAAATAGGTGGTAATATATTGATGAGTTCCATATTGTATGGCACCCACACAATCTGTATGATGACATACAAAACAGATTAATAACAAAAAAGTACGTAATTAACATGTTATTTAAATAAGTAACTCAGCAAAAGTTGGCTATAATACCTCATCATGTGCTAGACGATCAAAAATATATCTGTAGTAGTGGACATCTTTCTTTCCCTTTCTGATACCGTGGGATAACCATCTGCAAGTAATTGACCATAAAAACATGAAGCCAAACAAATAACATTATAGAACACCTACAAATGCGTAGTGCTAGCAATAACAATACCAACTTACCTAACACCGTACGGAAGATAAGGACGACTATAGGGAGGATTGATAGGTGCTATCTGGGGAAATCTATCCCAAGCCCAAATCACAATTAACGCAGTCAGTCCTCCAATAGCAACACGATCAATGTTGGTGGCCATGCATAGCTCTCGGTACAAATAACCTAGAACTGCATAACCCCAACTATATTGACCGGTCAACTCAAAATCTTCAAGCAAAGGCAAGTACCTCACAGATACCCTACTGCTAGAGTGATCAGGAAGCATGAACCCTCCAATAAGCTTCAATATATATGCCCTAGCAAACCGAGTGATCTGCAATGGAGTCTGATTATGCATGGCAATATGAGTGAAGTGTTCGTCCAACCAGCTCATCTTCAAGAAACTCCCTACAAAAACCTCTGATCCTGGTCTCATACCTAGGCTGTCTTCCACAATCTGAGCTCAATCACCCCCAGTGGGTGCTATAACAGGTCTCTCATCTATGCGTAATCCTAATATAATAGCAACATCTTGAAGGGTAATAGTACACTCTCCAGAGGGCATGTGGAAGGTGTGCGTCTCGGGCCTCCACCTCTCTACTAATGCAGTAATCAATCCCACGTCTACAGGAAGCTTAGACAAGTTAGCCACTCCAACAAAACCCGCTAACTCCAGATGTGGAATAATTTCTTCCGGAATACCTTCTAATCCACCGAGAATATTTGGACTCTTCCTAACTCTCAATGTCGGGTGATCACGTCCATCCCAAATATGCTCAGAAACATGAATACTCTGAAACCGAAGAAGTGATGGATCTTCTGGCCCGGGATTAATAACCTTACTTTGTTGTGAAGATGATGCCATCTATACAACAATAAAAAATATTAGTAAAAAAATTTCATTCAATAATAATAATAATAATAATTTATATTTTACTAACATATTAATAATACATAAATTTTATATAAATACAATTTTAAAATTTTACTTCAATATAAGTGTAAAAATTATTTATTACAATCAAAATTAAGTATAAATTATTATATTTAGTTTTATATAATTATTTTATTTAACTCAATTTTTATTATTCTGTATTTTAATGAATATCTATAATAATTCCTGTAAACAAATTTTATAAATCTTAATTTAACCTATCTTCTTAACAATTAATTATAATTTTATATTTTAATTAACTATATCACATTTCATTTTTTCTAAAAACATATTAATCTATATATAAATAAATAAAAAACTATTTAAATTTTAAATTCTTTTTTACTAATCTTTAATAAACTTTCAGCAAATTCTTCACTCACCCCCACTTAATTATCAAATCACTTACATACGTAGAGTTTTAAAAAATTACAATATTATTATCAGATTTTCTAATTAACAAAATCAAACTAAAAATAATATATAAATGGATGTTGTTATAGTTTCATACCTCTTAAATTCGTAGCAGTATTTGATCCTTCACAGCAAATCAAAACAAATTTTGAAACTTCTGCCTGGAGGACGATGATAGAGGAGCAGAGACGGAGAAAAGCTAAATGGAAACGAAGGAGGACCGTCACGGAGGAGGAAGAAGGGCGACGGTCAAAAGCAGTTTCGCTAACTGCAGCGCGAAATGAACTTTCGCCAGTAGCAGTGCGAATCATCTCAGATGTTGCCACATGTATCAAAATCTCTCCAGCCGTTCATTTTAAATCTAAGAAAGCGCAGAACCGCTCTCTAATATGCACTTCTGAGAGCGGTTCAAATGGAACCGCTCTCTAAAATGGAGTTATGAGAGCGGTTCAAAAGGAACCGCTCTCTAAAATGGAGTTATGAGAGCGGTTCAAAAGGAACCGCTCTCTAAAATGAGTTATGAGAGCGGTTCAAAAGAAACCACTCTCTAAAATGAGTTATGAGAGAGCGGTTGAACCGCTCTCTAAAATGGAGTTATGAGAGCGGTTCGAAAGGAACCGCTCTCTAAAATAGACTACTGAGAAGTCGTTTAACCGCTCTAAGAAGTCGTATTTTGTATTTTTTGTGGCGAAATAGATATTAAAAAATTCAAAAAATAATACTTTCGCCAGCCGTTTGGCGAAATTTTGATCCACGTGGCAAAAAAACCCAGATTGAGAAATTGTTTCAGATTTGCTATAAAATAATAAATTGTTTTTTAATTTATAATATTTTAATAAATTTGCCCAAAAAAATTGTCAACACTTTATTTTTTTCAGAAATTTTGTCATAATTTTTTTTTTTTCATTACCTTGATTCTTTAATATATATATATATATAGATGACTAAATATTTTTTCTAAAATTAGTAAATTAACACATCCATTTTAAATTTCTAAATTAATTTTTTTTAAAATAAAATTAAGTACTATGCATACAATTATTTTAGAGGCGAAAGTGGGCTATAACAAACAAAGGAGTAATACGACCCAATCCAATGCCGTTTTGTTAATGCTTTCCAAAAAGTAAAATAAAAATCTTACGACTACGCTCCACTACACTAATCATCTGTTGCGTTTCATTGAGATCTCGCTGAATATATCGTCGAATATTACGGTGGGTTTTGCCTCCCCCCTCTCTCTCTCTCTCTCTGTGTTAGCGTAGAAACGACGCCGTTCCTAGATCTAAGTTTTTTCGTTTTTCTTCTTGTTCGTTTGGTTTTCTTTTCCTTAATTGATTGGGTGCATGCGTTTATTGCGCTCGGGGCTTTTAATTTCCAGCAAGTTTGGATCCCCTTGGCTATGGTACTGAATTGATGTGTTTGGTATTATTGTTCTTATTGTTTATTTGATGTTATTACTGTGTTGGATGATTTTATTTCGGTTATTGCCGTTTACGCTACTATTGTTAAGGGTTATGGGTGGACCCATAGTCTAGTTTTGTTCATAAACAGATCTGTGTTAATTTTGGTTCTCTTATGGATCTGATTTGAAACCTTTGATGTTCTGTGCTTGAGGGTTTTGGTTATATATGTATGTATTTAATGGTTTTGGCATTTTGATGTTGAATTTTGTTTTACTCTTGTGTTTCTAGATTTGGTGTTGAATGCATCGGTGTTGGAGTTAGCTTATATTGCTGTTGTCGTGGTAGTATTGCGTTGAAGGAAATGGAGTTGAGAAAACCCTTAACGTGCAAATGGGTTTTCTTTTCTGTCATTGTCATTGTCATTGCTCGAGTTGTGGATAGTTTTTATCTCCCCGGAAGCTACATGAACGCTTATTCGAATAAGCATCTCATATTTGCAAAGGTTAATTCGTTAACTTCAATTGAAACAGAGCTACCCTTCAGCTACTACAGCCTCCCTTACTGCCAGCCTGATCGCATAAAGAAAAGTGCTGAGAATTTGGGAGAGCTTCTTATGGGAGATCAGATTGACAACTCCCCTTACCGGTTCCGGATGAATGTTAATGAGACTGTTTACCTCTGCACGACGTCGCCATTGAATGAGCACGAGGTTAAGCTGCTCAAGCAAAGGACGCGGGACCTTTACCAGGTCAATATGATCCTTGACAACTTGCCTGTAATGAGATTCACGACCCAAAATGGGGTTAAAATCCAGTGGACAGGGTTCCCTGTTGGGTACACACCGCCTGATGGTAGTGCAGATTACATCATTAACCACCTTAAGTTCACAGTCTTGGTTCATGAGTATGAAGGGAGTGGGGTTGAAATTATTGGGACTGGGGAGGAAGGTTTGGCTGTTATTTCTGATGCTGACAAGAAGAAGGCATCTGGGTATGAAATAGTTGGTTTTCAGGTTGTCCCTTGTAGTATTAAATATGATCCTGAAGTCATGGCTAAGCACAAAAGGTATGATACTCTCTCTCCTATAAGCTGCCCAACTGAGCTTGACAAGTATCAAGTGATAAGAGAGCAGGAAAGGATATCATTTACATATGAGGTTGAATTTGTGAAAAGTGATACAAGATGGCCTTCACGTTGGGATGCTTATCTGAAGATGGAGGGTTCTCGAGTTCATTGGTTCTCGATCTTAAATTCACTGATGGTTATATTTTTCTTGGCTGGTATTGTTTTTGTCATTTTCCTGAGAACTGTGAGAAGGGACTTGACGAGGTATGAGGAATTGGACAAAGAGGCACAAGCTCAGATGAACGAGGAGCTTTCTGGATGGAAACTTGTTGTGGGTGATGTGTTTAGAGAGCCTGAGTGCTCAAAGCTTCTCTGTGTGATGGTTGGAGATGGGGTTCAGATTCTTGGGATGGCTGCTGTTACAATTGTTTTCGCAGCACTTGGTTTCATGTCACCAGCATCCCGAGGAATGCTTCTAACAGGGATGATCATTTTGTATCTTATTCTGGGAGTTTCTGCGGGCTATGTCAGTGTACGTTTCTGGAGGACCATTAAGGGAACAACAGAAGGGTGGAGATCAATTTCCTGGTCAGCTGCATGCTTTTTTCCTGGAATTGCTTTCATTATTCTTACAGTTCTGAATTTTATTCTATGGAGCAGCAACAGTACTGGTGCTATACCCATTTCCTTATATTTCGAGCTGTTCTTCCTCTGGTTCTGCATTTCGGTACCCCTTACCCTTATTGGAGGATTTATGGGTACAAAAGCTCAGCCAATTGAATATCCTGTGCGGACTAACCAGATTCCAAGGGAAATTCCTGCACGTAAATATCCATCATGGCTTCTTGTTCTTGGTGCTGGAACTCTTCCGTTTGGAACCCTCTTCATTGAGCTTTTCTTTATCCTTTCGAGTATCTGGCTTGGAAGGTTCTATTATGTGTTTGGTTTCCTGTTGGTCGTTCTTCTATTGCTGATTATTGTTTGTGCTGAAGTATCTGTTGTCCTCACTTATATGCATCTCTGTGTGGAAGATTGGCGGTGGTGGTGGAAGGCATTCTTTGCCTCAGGTTCTGTTGCTCTTTATGTCTTCTTGTACTCCATTAACTACTTGGTTTTCGACCTGCAGAGTTTGAGTGGACCTGTCTCGGCTACACTTTACCTCGGCTATTCACTACTCATGGCAATTGCAATCATGTTATCCACCGGCACCATTGGCTTCCTTATGTCATTCTACTTTGTGCACTACTTGTTCTCATCAGTAAAGATAGATTGAGGTCTCCCTGTCATCTCTTATTATTAGCTATGCTAAAGGTCAATTAATATAGCTTCTTCTGAGTTCTTTTTTGTAGTTTGATCGCATTGCAGAATATTTGAGTAGGGCAACTTATGCTTCATTTGTTGTCTTAAATAGTTGTCAAATGATTTTACATTGCAATGTTATCTGCAGTTTGTTCTCCTACTTGTCCCCCACAGTAACCTACTCATTCAGGTATTCAACTAGTGTTTGAGCTCTCAGTGTGCTTTAAGTATTTTTAGTTCAATTAAGTTGCTTTAGAAAGTTGTAGTTGCAAAACTGTCATCTTATTTTGATACTGTAGAAAAATTATGTTAGATGGATAATTTCATATCTCGCTGTGATGTTCACTGTGCTGCTGGGTGTTTAATTTTTAGCTTCCACACATTCTCGGATAGGGAAAGTATTTGGTATTATACTGTTAAAAGGATGTTATTTAAACTTAATTTGTCCGCAATTTTGGCTTTGTATAATATTATTGTTTCATATTATATTTTATTTTATTTTCTAGTCGGCTGCATGTAAATTTGTGGTAATAATCCTTTGAATATGGAAAATATTGGATTTGTGTAGTATTGCTATAGCACTTGGCTTTTCGTCTGTTAACTGCGTTCCACTTTTTCGGTGTAATACCCTTAGCAATGACTTTTGGCAGGAAAAGTACATGGCAAAATAAAATGCAGGTAGCATAAACTTTTTCTACTGGTATCTGAAAATCCTATTTTAACAACTTTTAAAGGCAATGGCTGCAGTTAAGTTTCCATTTTGTTTGAGGTATTTTTGTCGTTCCTTTTTCAAAATAAAAATTACTTAGCTGATATATTTTATGGAAAGGGGACGAAGAAAAATAAATGAATTTGTCTTGAAGCATACGACTTCAAATCTCAAATATGCATTTAGTTATATGGCTTGAGTTACTCTCCTCGAAAGCAACTTTTGGACATTTTATAATGTTTTAAATATGTTTAGTCTCTATACTTTATATTAATATTAGTTTTTATACTTACAATAACTAAACATTATATTAGGAAAAAAAAAATAACTAAACACTATTTCAGCAGATTGACTATATGGACTATACATTATCATTGAATTTGGTGAAAAATTAAATTTTTAGAAATTTAATTAATCACAGAATTTCTTTTAATAATTTCATCTAAGATTTTTGAGTCTCTATAATTCCTCATTTCTCATTATTGTAGTAAGAATTATGTAATTCACTCTTCTTACTAGTATTTTTAAAGGTTTATTTATTTGCACATGATTAAATTATTTTAGATAATTTTTAATCATCTTTTTAACTATTAATGTCATTATAATATTTTTTTAGTATACTATCATTTTGTAACTTGTCTTTTTTTATTTGTTTACATGTCTACTTTAACATTTTTAATTTTGTCAGTTTTGATGTCTTTTTTTCCTTTTTAATCACCTAACTTGTATTCTAAATTTCTTTTAATTGAAAAGTCTTTAAATATAATTTAAGAAGTTTTTACACATATAATTATTTAGTTTGAATATGTTACATGAACTTTTTTCTTTTTTAAAATCTTCTCTTGTGTAACATCTTTTTTGGTAGTCGATCATGTATCTTTTCCAAATCAATAAAAATTATATGTAAATTATTTTTTTTTAATGATATTTTTTTATATTTTTTCTAAAAGATATATAAATTATGTTGTACACTTTACATAAAACTAAATTAATTTTTTAGAATACTAGTTTCTTATTGTATTCTATGTTTAATCTTTTTTATTTTTAATTTCAAAATATGACTCAAATTTAATCTTTTTGTATCTCAACATGTCAAATTACGGACTTTACAATGAACAATTTGGATGACTTTATTACATAAGAGGAATAAAAAAAATCGTAAGAAATGAGACCAAAACAAAATAAAATTATAAGAATCAAAGTTTAAATAAACTTAACAAAATTTTGGGACCAAACTAAAATTGGAAAAAATTATAGGAATAAAACCTAGAATAAATAAAATATGTTAGAAAGAACTAAGAGCTAAATATTTAGAAAAATAAAAGAGCACATTCATCACAACCAAAATTGGTTTTTTTATTTTTTAATATTTTAAAAAAATAATTATTAAAATGATAATATTCTAAAACAAATTCTCTAACGTCACTACTAATTTTGTACTTTGCATGTGAAGAACTTTGTTTCAAAATTTTTAAAATAATTTCATATACTACAAATACGAAATTGATTTGGTTTTTTTTCAAAACAAATTATTTTTCTGATGCAGCCTTTCATTTCCTGATGTCGATATCCGTGAACTTATAAGGACGTGTCGAGCAAGCTGTGTGACCCTCGCTTCTACATGACTAGGCCATTATTTTTAAGTTTTGTCCATTTAAATTTAAATGTAAAACTCTATAAAAAAATAAAATATATTTAATTATCTAAAAGAAATTAAAAGATGCAAAACTTGTGGTGACATGAGAAAAAAATATTCCAGATAAGAATTTGTTTTAAAATAATATTATTTTAATAATTATTTTCTTAAAAAATAAAAAATAAATAAGCCACAAAATTCAAGAAAATATAATATTTAGGATGAAATTATGCTGCAAATATGAGTTAGAAGCTGGGAATTGTTACACCAAATTTTTGAAGATATAATCTTGTAATATCAAAACTTCAAGACAAAGTATGTGCAAGATAAAGAGTTGGAAACCTAAAACACCAAGTGATGATAAAGAGAGAAGAAAAGAGGATCAAACGTGTTTAGGGAGAGGTATGAGAAGTTGCTGCTGTTGTGAGAATTCAAAGTACTATTTCTATCGTATGCGAACATAAAAGTAACATTAGTAATTAACTTCAACCTAAAATCGATTACAGAACTCAAAGATCGTTTTTGATATAAGAACTTAACAAGAGAGCAGAAGAGTATTCTGTTATTCAAACACTCACTTGAATAGCGTTGGGGCAAATTCAAGATTTTGCATATGCTAAAATTTGAGCCACACCAAATTCAAAATATTTTCAAAATATAAATTTTAAAAAATTTATTAGCATTTAATATATTTTTGATAAAATCTACTGTACCTTTCATACTTGAAAAGTTTGATCCTCTCTTAACATAAAATAATTATCACTTTTAATTTTTTATTAATAAATAATAAAATTAGTAATTTAATTATAAAAAGACATTAATATTCTTTAATTTTTAAAATATAAGATGAATCACAACTGTTGATCTAAATATAATATAAAACTAGTAAATATATCTGTGCGTTGCACGGGTTTGTTTTATTTTTATCAAATTAATTTATTTTAAAATATAAAATATATAATTTAAATATAAAAATATATCAATATGGTAAAAAAAATTATTATATTAAATATAATTACAATGAGAAAGATTATGAAATATTTCTTTTTATACAATATTTTTTGTATATCTTATATATTTGTTTATCTTCTTTAATAATAAATATTTTTATTTCTTTTATTGACATTATTTTAGACCATGCAACATATAATTGACTATGATTAAATACAGGTTTTGACAAATATAATCCAACATAATTTAATGATTGCCCTTGATAAGGAGTCTTGTTCCATCACATTCCTAATGTCGGATTGATATTCCTAAGTAACATAATTGATATTCCTTCTTTGAGTTGCAAGCAATGAAGAATAAATCCATTAAAATTTAAAGTATTCAATAATTTTACATGATACATAAGCTCTTGTTTAATTATTTAATTTAATTTATCACCAAAAATTTTAAAAAATTATTAATAAATAAGTACACATAATTTTAATTTATAATTTGTATGATAAAATATTAATTATAAGAGTAGTTAGGATAAACTCTATACGTGTATAATTGAATTATATTAATAAATAAATAAGCAAATATTATCATAGTTTATAATAGTAATACCAATACATGCATGAATAAATTTTTATAATTATTCTCTAACTAAAATAAAGAAGTAAATTAATTTTAAATAATTATTTGTTAATGTAATAATAATAGAATTAATAAAATTAAGATAATATTTATTAAGATAATAATAGATTTAATAATATGTTGCATCTTACAAAAGACTAATAAATAAATAAATAAAATTTTAATTTAAATATATATTATACCGTCGTTAAAATATTTATTAGGTTTGTAATTATTTTAAAAATATAAATTTAATATATATACACATTAAAATATTATACCATCATTAAAAAAATACATGTGTTCAAACAATTTGGACGCAGATCCGGTGTATTTGAGATTTGATGATTGCTTTCAGATATAATTTTTGTATGAAGTCCTTGTGTCTATCTATAGTCTAATATTTGATATATCACATGGTCTTACAAAAACAAAAAGTCAATATTTAATGAACCTAATTTAAATATTTTTAAAAATTAAAAAATTTATAATTTTAAGAATATAACATAATAAACATATATTAATAAAAAATATTTTTATTGAATTACTTTTTTTATGTATAATACCTGTATTTTGATTTACATCCTGGGAACTAACTTTAAGTCCACAAAATGAATAAATTTTTTCATTAGAAAGCATGGTTTTCTACGTTTGTAATTAAATACTCTCAGTAAAATTTTTAAAAACATTAGAACTTGTATTCCAATTTAAAAATTTTAAATAATCATATAGTGAAAATATAGAATTCTAATAAATAAATATAATTTGATATGTTAATATAAAGAATATTTTTATAATATTTTAAACAATGACCTCAATCTTTCTTAGATTATAAGTCTTTCGATAGTTGTGAAGATTTAAACTTCATACTCATAAAATTTTAGAAGTATGTAAAGGGAAATGTTTATTAACTTTAAAACAAATTATATATATATAAATTAAACCTAAAATTTGAACTTAATTCAAAGTTAAAATGTTATATTTTTTACATATTCGTTCATTACAATATAAAATTATTAAATATACAAAACCAATAGTTACTTAAAGATTTAAATATCAAATCATACTCATTTATATTGTTATGATATTTAATAATATTTAATTTATTTCAATTATTATAATTAATTAGTTTTAATTTAAGATTTTTAAATTTATCATCATCACTATAATATTTTATAAAAAAAATTGCAACAAAATTATTAAGTAAAAATATTTTAATTTTTTAATTTAAAAAAATTAAATTTTTCATTGTAATTATTATAATATAAAATATAAATAAAATATTAACTACATTAATAGGTTAAACATAATTATGATAAGTCAATTCTTATTAAATTATTGTTTTAAAAAATTAAAATAATAGAAGTAGAGGAAAAAAGAGTAGTTAAAAAATCTTCAATTAAGATTTGGATAGAAACTAAAAGAGAATAATGATTTTATTTAATATAAAAATTAATCTTTATATCAATTAGAATTACAGATGTTGATATAATATAAAATTTATGAGTCGCATATAAAATTTAAACAAATTTTATGTTAAGAATAAAGTCAATACATAATATATATAATAATAAAATAAGATATATATATATATATATATATATATATATATATATATATATATATAATAAGATAAAATTATTTTATAAAAGACAAAAATATTTGGTGACATTTTTACTTTTCAAATTCTACACAGTATTAAAAGTATTTATACAATATTGTAATAAAAATGGTTCAATCATCTAAATTCTCCATTGTTACTTTTTGTTCACTATTTTTTATTTCATCTTTCTCAAGTTGCGACCTAATATAAAATATAAAATAAAAATTATTGTATGATCCAAGAAATTTGAACAATATATTACAAATTTATAATTTATACATTAATTCTTTCCTTCTTTTATCTTGCCTTAAGCAGTTATTTTTTCTTCAATATAACTTGTGTGCATGACCACTCTAATCAAATCTATTCATAAAATAAATAAATTTAGGAAACTAATTGATAAATTAAATACAAATTATATAACAATTTTAGAAAATTTTTACAGCAAAATACCTGTTAAGATGTTATTTTCACAATGACTTTTCAAATCTTCAAAGTTCACAAACT